AGTGCTGATACATGAAGGGAGTGCCGAGTATCAGATCGTAGTTGAGTACGTTCATAACATCAAAGTATCGTGTTTCACTGATGTTCTGGTATTCCAATTTAGCCACACAGCCGAGATTGACCTTCGCACGAGAGCCTTGTACAGCCATCTGCACAGGTAAGGGCTTCTCGAGCTCGTAGGTCTTAAGTCGTAGCTGATGAGCCAGTTTCGTAGATACGAAGTCGGACATTGATCCCGAGTCTATCAAAGCTCGGACCGGGTTTCCATCAATATTTACGACTACCACGGCCGGTTCGGGCATCAAGCGATTCATCGCTTTCGTCTCAGAGGCATTCCTCTGCAGGTATTCCGCTGAGTCATTCTTGCTTACTCCTACTGCGAAGCACTGAACTTCCGGGTGCGAGCGAAGCAACCAGCAAGTGTCGCATTGCCGAGACCTCGTCTCGAGCTTGAACAGCGCTGTGAGCTCGCCCTCCAATTCATCCAAATCAAAGGACGGCAAGCGCAACTCTCGCCTCAGGACTTGAGCGTACCAGTTCGAGAGATCCAGGTGAGGATTCTCCAACACATTGTTTGGCACGAGTAACTCAAAGGCGAGGTACAGATCATGTATTACGACATATCCGTACCTCTGCACTACCTCAAAGCGCGCCCGTTTGGGCCACTCCTCGTCATCGACAGCGGGCGTAGGAATGGCCCTCGCCAGCGCTATTTTGGTCTCACTCGCGAGAGCATGACCCAAAGTGCAGGTCGGGAAGTCCTCGTAATCAAGTTCATTTCCCATGTAACCATCTAGTCTAGAGAAGTACCACCCGGCTACGTCGAAGTTAGAGTTCTTCAACTCGCGCACAGGTAAGTAAAAGGCCGTCTCGAAATAATGAAATACATATTCATCATCCGAGACCCGTACGACGCCTATGTCCAGTTCGTCTTTATCCCTATTAGGATATAACACCGCCATCATACCATTGAGTATTCTGGCAGCGTTGCTAGCATACGCGTCGCCGAAGCGTCGGCTACAGTCCCCTCTACCCTGTATGACAGGTAAGAAAGTGGCCTCGAAAATGCTGTCGTATGGCACCATGTCCTCTTCGAACTGATCATGCTCTGCCTTCCCAGGACCCGTCATCTCCTCGTTTTCAACACAGGAGTAGTATGTGGAGTCCCCCGACTCAGAGACACTCAATTGTGAGTCATCTTCCGAGTCAGACAGGTATGATACTGACTGCAGGTCAGGCATAGTATCTGAATCTGAGTCAGATAGCACCATTGGCCGACTGGACTCGCAGTCCGAAGACTCGGAGTCAGACTGAGTCCGCAGGCTCGGCATCGAGTCGCTACTGGCGTCGGAGTAAGCATCGTCCACAAAGTCGATGTAATGCAAGTTCAGGGTCCCGGTGAGCCCGGTAGACGCCGCAAAATTGCGCAGTTCGGACGCCGAGCCCACAGCGGGCTGTACATTGTATGAAGGTACGCCCGGGGGCTTTCCTTTTCTCTGTGATTTGACCTGTCCTTTCTTAGGACAGTTACGAGTGAAGTGCCCAACCTCGTGGCACTCGAAGCAGCGTCCCTCGGCAATGTAGCGCTCTCGTTCCTCGTCTGAGAGCCGCTTTTTGTTGCTATGAGGTGAGTTCTTCTGTCCACTACCTCCCGACTGAGGAGTGTTCGATGCTTGGGCTCTCGGCGGTGCATTGCCGGAACCTGAGGCATGGGCGTTGCTCGACTGAGCACTGGCATTGCCCCTGTTCCCGCGGAAGTTGCCCTTCCGCCCTTTGTCATATTGTCCGCGTCGACCCGAGTTACCATAGGCTGACTCGTTAGCATTGCTAGGACTAGCGGCTTTGTCGGTGCCCCCGGAAGGGCCCTTCTTGACTCGGCCAAACGTCCCGGATCGAGCGCTGTGTGCAATCTCGATGAGAGTCGCCGCTTTGACGACATCCTTCCATGACGAGGTGAGAGGGCTAAGCTCTCGCATCCAGAGATCGCCCTGTACAGCCGGCTTGAAGCCGTTCCAAAGTCGACTGACTTTCTCTTGTTTAGAGAGTAGGCCCACCATCTGTACAGTTTCCTCGAAATCATGTACATAATCGCGTACCGAGCGATTACCTTGTTCAATAGAACTTAACTTCGCCTGCATGCTGAGTCGATAGTCGACAGGGAAGCAATAATTGAACAGCTCGATGAAGAGCTTGTCGAGAGACCATGACTTGGACTCATTAGACACATTGGTCACGAAGAAACGGTAAGCCTTGTGCTTCATGAAATTGGAAGCAGTCGAGGCATACATGTCCTCGTCGAGACTGTACCCCTGTACATACTCACGTACTTGTCGTACGAACTTATGAAATGCTTCCGCATCCGCCCGACCGTCATAAACTTCGGGATTAATGGGTTTTAAGACAGGCTTCTTAGCCTTCTTCGCCTTTTTCTTTCGCTTCTTACGAAGCTCGCTCAAGTTCTCGCTCTCGGAACTTGCATCCTCTGAGCCGGAGCTCGAGGAAGATGAGCTAGAGCTCGAAGACGAACTACTATCGTCAGACGGAGGGCCTTGCTTCGATAGCAATCTTCCAAGGTAACTGCCACGCTCTAGCTGTGCAGCAGGTTGCAGTTTCGAACTGACAGATTTTCCCTTCTTCTTAGGGTCCTTGCTGACTTTAGCAGACACCGACGGAGCCGTCACAATTTCGCCCTGAGAGGCATTGTCATTCTCGACTACTGGTACAGGTACTGTACTGGGCCTCTCGGCCTCTCGCGCAGTAACAAGCTGCGTTAGCATCGCGACCTGCTGGATGAGCTCATCCATACGAGGATCGCGTATAACCGACGACTCGGCCTCTGGAGGCGGAATGAACGCGTCCGTCTTCTCGGGCTCCTGGTCTATTGTCCAGTCCCAACGTTTGCCAGTTAGGCTCTCGTAATACTTGCCGTACCGCCGGTACTCCGAGTTGGGATAGTACCCGGAGTCTTCGGACCTAGCCACTTCCGGCTCAGCCGTTGCAGGCTCTTCCGCAACGGAAGCGGGAGGCTCGGCGGAGGCTGCGGAGCGGGAGCGAACTTCCTCCCGCCATCCGTCCTCGGCCATCCGACGCAGGACAACTTGGCGTTCGTCCTCGTCACGTTTGGAGAGCTCTTGCAGCTCGTGTTCGTACGCGTCCTTCTGCGATCGAGTCATCTCTCGTTCGGCCTTGTTCTGGGCTGAGGTCATTTCCTCCGAGAGAGGTATGCCTCCCCCAGGCACAGGTGATTTCACCGCCTTCGCGCTTCTGCGAGACGCGTTCGGGCTGTGCCTACCGTCACGTCCGACGGTAGTCCACTGTCCGCCTGAAGCCGGCTCGGTCTTCACAGGTCGGGACAGTTCAGGTTCAAGGTCGACCTTGCTACGCGACTGAGCGCGAGCCATGGTCTCCTTATCCTTGACACGCTGCGCTGTCAACGCAGGGTCCGCCTCTCTGGTGGCCGCCAGAGAGGGATTACGCGGACGTGCAGTGACGCGGTAAGGCGATCGCTGCAGAGGTCCGGGAGCCGAGCAGATGCTGGCTGAGTCGGAAACGACTTCTTCGTGGCGCGAAACATCGCCGCCTTTTCGAGTACCCCTGGTCCGTCGGAACGAGTGAGCTGGAAACCCACCCGGCACCTCAGGGCCAGAACGCAGGTAGTAGCGACGCTCTTGAGCCATCGCGTTTTTCGACGTAATGAGTATTACGTTATCTAGAGCAGAAAGTAATTAGCGAGAGAGATGAAAACTGGGTACGTCACCTGGTGCCGGAGTGTCGAGGAGATCAAGCTCGAGGTGTCCAGGCGTCGGCGACGATATAGAGATAGAAGCTAGTTCAAAGAGATAGAGTCGATGTTGGCTGTTAAAATGTGTAGCGCTCGCGATCCTGAATAGGAAGTCGGTGGCGCAACGAGAGGGAGAGAGCGCGCAACGGGCCGAACAGTTTATAAGACTGATATTGGTCTCCGCAGGTTCGCTGCAGAACTAGTCTAAGGTGCCCGTCTTTTATACTACTAGGTAGAGTAAGTTTTCTTCATTACAAACGAGTCACGATCGGGATCTGCATTCTAGTGGAGCGGATAGAATGTAAAATAGAACGGAGAAGTATTAGGCTGGACGAATAAGGAAAGTGTGAACTAAAACCGGTAACTCTGGAGCGGTCCACGAACCGGACCGCTACAGAAGCTCACGCCACGCAACGGGCAGGGCGGCAGCGCAGGAGATCCGAGATCGTATCCGATCTCAGATGCGCTGACCCCGATGTGCATCCAAATGGGTAGGCTCGCATCGCGCGCCAGTGGTACCGCCCCGCCGGGGCCGAAAACCGGGCTGCCCCGGGGTAGCTGCCATATCAGGTAATGACCGACGGCGCCTCGTTCATACATGACGGCGTCTCGCTCATACATGAGCTAGTGGCAGCTCATGTATGAGAATAGGCCTCGGTAAGTACAGGTGTTTATGTATGATACCTTTGTGCTAACTACAGGGATCTCATACAAGAATATGCCTATATGGCCTGGGCCTCGATGTCGTGATCTTCAGCGTCTTGAAGCGCTATTGGACCGAGGAACGGGACAACTTCGAGCGCCGCACAGGCCAGAAGGTGTCGAAGTCAAATTTTCTGTCGGTGTACGCAGGAGCCCATACACGTACACTGACATCTGAAAACATCATGTCAGCCTTCCGCAAGACGGGTATTGTGCCTGTAGATCGAAACATCATCACGGAAGCCAGTATGGCGCCGAGTCTGGAGACAACAGTCGCAGCTGCTCACCCTTGTGCACCGAGCACCCCAGTGAAAGCCCGTGCCGACCGTTTAATCCATCGCATTGAGGCTTCTCACGCCGATCACGGAGCTGAAGCAGGCCCTTCTTCATTTGTTGGATCCTACAGTGAACGCCGTAGCCCCAGTCCCGCATCGTCGGAGATCGCATTTCATGATCTCGCTACCTCTTCCCTGGGTTATTTGACCCACAACTCACCCTTGCGCTCAGCGCGTACACCTCCTGCCCACACCACCTTCGTAATATCGCCACCCCGAAAGCGGCCCTACTCGAGCCTCCTTGAGGACGAGCCACGGACGCAACAAGAGGCAGACCTGCAAGACGCACTCCGTGAGTCGAATGTACGGAACGAGTCACAGAAGGCTCGCATGTCGGGTATGCAAGCAACAGCTGTGCTGTCAGACATATACCTTCGTGCGTCTCGTTCACAGCTCCAGGCGCAGGAAGAGGCCAAGGGGAAGAAGAAGTCGACGAGGATCTTCTCCGATGGGCTCCCAAGATTGCTGACCGATGACCAGGTCTTCGATACTGTGGTCCAGCATGAGCATGCAGCAGCTAAGAAGAAAACAGACAAGGCGGTTCGCAAGGAGGCGAGGAGTGTCCATGGTGTCGCTATCGCGGGCTGGAAGAAGGCGGAGGAGGCGAGGAAAGCGCGGAACACGGCACGGCGCGAGGTTCACAGGACAGCTGTCAAAGCCTGGGAATTGGAGCGTGACAGGGCCAAGGCGGAGAAGCGGAAGTGTGCTGTGCTCAAGCCCAAGGTTGGTGGCATTGAGAGAGCCATTTCGAGGCCGAAGAAGGCAGTTCAGCAGAGCGATGAGGAGGAGGACACGTCGGGAGATGAGGACGGTGATCAAGGCTCAGCGATGGGGGATTAGATTAGATCATTCCATATCGGGTAAGCGCTGCGTGATGTGACCGCGTCTCAAGGACCGTTCAGAGCCTTGATAACAGGATTTCGCACCGATTTCTGTCGTTTCAGCACTGGACACAACCGATAACAACGATCTTTGCATAGGTGTATAGAGTACATGAGTAGCTATCATATGGTATCAATAGATCTACCTCTCGCAGACGAAAGATACTCGCCCGAAGCAGAATAAGATTTGGGTGTCTCAAGGAGCCGTCGATGACTGTAACGATGCACACGCCAACCACGAGCTCGGTGGGCGAATGCCCAGCGCGCAGGCATGGCCGACAAACGTGTGCACAAGCGAGTGGGCAGGTGGATGAGCACGGGCCCAGGTGAGCATGCTTGATGAGCGGACGAGTGGGAGCACTCACTGGTGGATGTTCAGGAAAACGGAAGATGGGTAGGCAAGCGCGTTGGAGGGCAGAAGGGCAGGCGAGCACACAAACGGGTGATGACGACCCGCGCGACAACCGCGAGCGCGCTGGGCGAATGCCCCGCACGCAGACATGACCAATGAACGTGCTGGTGAGCAGGCGGACGACAGGGCCGCTCGCTCGTGCCTCATACTTGAGCAAAACAGCACTCACCATATCCGGCCAGCCGGGGATATTGCCAGCGACGCCGAAAGGGCGTCACGGAGTCTTCTAGACCAGTACCAAGCAGTGCGAAACCATTGCCCGCTCAGTAGTCGCCTCGCAGTTGCCAGTCCAACCACCGAGGTCGAGAAACCGCAAACTGGCTCTTCGCGCGACGACAAGTCCGACGTTTCAACGTGCGCATTAAGGCCGCAACAGGAGGTCCCACCAACGCGCAGCGTGTCTGCAAGCCCAACAGACAGATCTCCCCGACATGTACCAAGGCAGGCGCAGACGACTCCCTGCAAGATGCGCAGACGGACAGCATATCTCGTGCCCGGCAAGCCACCCCGCCAGATGTGTCGACGCACACGTCATCGCTCGTTGCGCCCCGGTCCGCGCTCGATAAGTCTATGTCCCCGCCACACCTCCACTCGCCTGCGCCCCTCAGGCTGTCGCTGCGCCTCCGTTCCTCGACCACTCTCGGAACCACGTGCGGAGATGACCTCTTGTCCGCTCGCGCTGTCTCACCTCGTAGACCCATTCATCTGTTCGTCCACGTGTCTACCCGTTTACTGACCCGCGGACCCGCAGTACTTCCGTGAGACCCATTGCAGCAGATACAGGTACGGGTAAACCCCCGGGCACCCGGAGGTTTACCTGTGCAGTTCACTGCGACACGTACAGCGGCTGTGGCCATGTGAAACGGGCTGGTGTTTGAACAGGCAGGCAGACGAGCGGGAAAGCTGGCAGGCGGATAAGCGGGAGAGCTGGCAGGCGGGAGCCGCGTAGGTCAAATGTAGGTGCTCCAATATCGTATGGTTTCTCGTGCCCGTTGTACATCGCGCGCGCAAGCGTCGTCCGGAAATTGCATTATAATTGTTATTATTTGGCCGAGGACGAGACGGATACCCGAGCCTCCGGGCAGCAGCTATAGGGCTCGTGGCAGCCGACCTGGCAGTAGGCCTATGTATATGGTATGCTGTTTGATGACTCAGACTTGCCCTGCACGATGGTGAATGTGCAGGGCCAGGCACTCGGACGAGGCAGACATCATCAGAACCACTGGGCAATGACGCGTGCAAGTGCCTACCCAGCCACAGGAGATGACTGAATGGCGTCGGGGCACCTTATAGGTAATGCTAGATCAGCTTGGACGTCGTCAGATTATTGACTGGAGAAGTGTAACGGATATTCCCGTTACGGTATGTATTACAGTATATGTTTGTCTTTGTTTGCTCGAGGACTCGTATGGCGCGCCAGTGCACCTACGAGTCCTCAGCCTTTACCTCGTCACCGCTTTGTATGCACTCTGTAGACAGATCTCCTTGAATAGAGACTGGGTGCAGCGCATACGAGGCACGACGAGTGAGGCGCCCTTACACTTTTTTGCGCTCCAGACAAGCTTCTACTCTGGGGATCTATTCTAGGCAACAACCTCAAAAACTCGACTTCGATATCTACCTACTCGACGTCAACAACTCTATGCTACTCTGATCATCCTCTGGCCAACTCGACAACTCGACAAGATGTCCGAGTCGACCAACACCCCGTCTGCACCTTCCCGAGGCAGCCGCGGGTCCCACAGTGGAACCCGCAGCAAGCTGAAGGCGTTGCGCGCGGAAGTCCGAGCGAAGCTCGCCGCAAGTCAAGAGCGGATCAACAAGGCCCTCGAGGAGTCCAAGCAACTCGAGGCCGAACTGCTGGCAACGGTCGACGCCGCGTTGTCCGAGGCCAGCAGCCGCAGTCGGTCTTCTCGCACGAAGACCACCCGGACTGAGTCCTCTCACCGCGAGGACTCAGCCGGAGCCCTCACAGAGCAGGCGCCGTCCGACCGTGAGGTCGAACAGGCACTGCGCACTGAGCAGCTCGAGCCCAATGTCGAGCCCGCTCAGAGCCGCACGGAGACCGACCCTCCACCTGCTACCACCCTGCCGATGAAGCTCGGCACCACTCGGAGGAGTGGTGAGTGCACCGAGCTCGACGACGTAACCGTAGTCGAGCTCGCGCCCGGGTCGAACGAGCAGTGCAATGAGCTGACTCGTATCAGCACCCGGGAGGGCATAGGCACACAGTACTACAGTAGTACTGTGTGCAGTGGGACCAAGCCCACGCGTGTAGACACGCCCGTCGGGCGCTCAGAGATGAGCCGTGACGCAGAAAATATATATTTGTTGCCGAACGACGTGAGCGCCACGTCGAGCAGCTTGCTCGACGCGACGCACGACACGCTCGACCCTGCGGGCGTCGAGCGCCACGAGACCGTGCCAGTGGTGAGCGCCCCGAGCGTTAGCGCCCACCGCACTGCGCTCGACCGCCACCACCGACCCCTCGTCTTCGACCATTTCCACTCCCTGGGCAGCCAACTCGAGCGCCCGTCTGGCGAACCAGACGCGCGCGCGGCTCCAACGCGAGTGCGAACTCGCGTTCGCGAATGGCTGGCTGACTTACCACCAGTCCAGTCAGTGGCGACCGACGACCTGGTACCTCACGGTACCAGATCGCCAATTCCTCCCTCCCCGGCTCCTCACCTCATCCCTTTCGACTCGCGCCTTGACGCTGGCAACCAATACCGCGGCTCTGGCGACACGCAACCCAGCCGCGCGACCCAGGACTTGAACACCGCGCGTTCAAGCCCAGCGCCGAGCTGCAAGACCGAGCGGACCACGAGGAACGCGGATCGTGGAGGCGGCGAGGAAATCCCGAAGGAACGAGAAGGGTGCGAGGAAGGCACGAAGGGAGAGAGGGAGGAAGGGTGCGGGGCGAGCAGGGAAAGCGAGCAGGAAGGCTCGCAAATCGAAGGTACGCCCATGCTGGACGTACCCACCTCGCCTCCGCCTGTGCCAGTACCCCCGCCAGCGTGCGTATCGATGAACACGGAGTTCGTCGAGCGTACCGCTGGTCACGGAACCAGGTACGACTGCGAAGTCGTACCTTCCGCTCCGCAAGATGGCACGTCTGTGCTGCGGGACGACCTCCAGGTCGTACCCTCCATACCCTCTGTACCTGCGCCAGTAGGCGTACCGACGAACGTGAAGGTCGCCGAGCGCGCGGCTGGCCATGAGGACGGCAGATCCGCGCTGCAGGACGACCTGTTGGTCGTGTCCTCCGATCCGCAAGGCCGCACGCTTGCGTTAGGGGACGACCGCGAGGTCGTACCCTCCAGTTCGCAAGGCTGCGCGATGGAGACGCAGCACTTCTCGCTCGACGTGCTCTGCTCTGGTAACAACGACCACTTCATAGCGTACACACCGAATCTACTACTCGATGTGCACGCTATTGACCGGCACGAAGGGTCGAAAAGTGAAGATACGTCCCGGAGGAACGTACTCACGTCGACACATGCCAGGTCGGCGCCTGCCAGTGCGTCCACACCAGTGAGTGTGACGATGAACAGGGAGCCCGTCGAGAGCATCGCCTGCGACTCGTCGGGCCACCGTCTCTTCATCGCTGCTCCCATGATCACGAGTGACCATGAAGATGGCACGTTCGCATTACGAGACGACCCAAGGGTCGTACCGCCCGCACTGCAAAGTGATGCACATGTAATAGTGGACGACCGCGAGGTCGTACCTTCCATCTCGCAAGGCGGCACAACGGACCAGCAGCGATGCAGGTCCGAGGTGCCCCATTCAAACTCGGCTGTCTGTGACGGGGCGTTCACTGACCCATCGTCGGCCAGTCGCGTAGCGCACCCAACTGCACCTCGAGACAGCCTGCACGTCCTCACGGAAGTGCAGGCCCCCAGCTGCTCTGAGGTAACTGAACCTCCTGAGGTTCAGCTGGCCAGGTCGTGGGACGACCTCGACGACATCGCCAGCAGCGCCCAATCGCGCGTGGCCGACCTCCGAGAAGACGTGCACTTCCAACAGGAAGTGCAATTCCCCGGTCCATTCAAGATAGCTGAACCGTTCGCGGTTCAGTTGGGAAGCCTGCGATACGACCTCGACCTCGGGTTTTTCAGTAACCACCACTTTCTTCGTGACCTCGGTGACCTCGCGAACGCACAGCCCGACGCTTGCGTAGCCCCAGCAAACGCGCGAGCTCGAGATCGCGACCATACTGCTGCACTACCGACAGCGCAGCAGCCGGCGCTTACGGACTCCGACCGACCAGAACGGTCGCTCGACCGTCAAACCGGCGAGAACTTTACAGTTCTCGCCGATGGCTCACTCCTAGGGACCCCCAGCCAACATATTGTCGACCTCCCCGCGCGCCCCAACACCGTTGGAGACTACGACGGGCACAACGAGCCACAGGTCGACTACGCACTCGGGAGGTCGCGCGAAGGGTGGAAGGACGGGCAAGGCAGGGACGGAGAAGACGTGGACGAGGGTGTGAAAGCACGAGAGTCCGACGGGGATGGTCAGGCAGAAGGAGGAGAAGGGGAAGGGTGCGGTGTACGCGAAGGGGTCGAGCATTCAGGCTCGAAAAGCACAGGTACGTCCTTATTGGACGTACCCCTTTCATGGGTACCACCACTCCCTATCCCGAGGTCACCACCCGGGATGACTACGACAACCAGTGCGGTTGTCGTGGCAGTCACTGCGTACGGCAGTGGTACGGTCAGTCCACGAGGTGACCTACAGGTCGCACCTGACACCGCCAGGCACCGCGGTATGATCGACGAGCGAGGCTGCTCGTCCGACGTACCCAACATTGCCACAGCTCACACGCAGGCGACGAGCTATTCGCTCGACGTCTACGCTGAGGAGCCTGGTGGTGACTCGAACAGCGAGTACCTCACGGTACTCGCTCCGCTGTCACCACCCCCCATTCCAAGACCGCCACCACTGGTGACCACGACCACCACATCGGTTGTCGTGGCACTCGCCACAACGGACAGCGGTACCGTCGACTCACGAGGTGAACTGCAGGTCGCGTCCAGCACGCACGTACAGCGCACGCACGACGCACAGAGGTCGAGCCCGATGCTCGAGGAACACACTACTGAGCGCACCGACGACCCGAAGCGCGAGTACCATGCAGTATTCGCTTCACGTCCATCGACACCCGTTCCCGTACCACTGCCCGTGCCGATCGCGACCACCTCGAAGGTCGTCGCAATCGACAGTGGTCCATCCACACCACAGAGCGACATCGTAGTCGCGTCAGTGACCACGCACGGCGGCCTCCATGCCGGGGATCGCGTGCAATCAACCGAGACGCCTACAGCTGCAGACGTACGACAGGTTGCACCCGAGACCGGATGGCGACCATCGGGACGATACATGCCGCCTGCACGACGCGTCCACGGGCAACAAGACCGATGTGAGCCAGCTACGGTCGACGGCGATGTGAGCCAGGCCAAGTACCTCGCGGTACTTGACATCTCCAGCGAGCGAAGTCAGGACCCACCGCGGAGCACGTCCAAGATGGACGTGCTGCCGTATTCCCCGGACCCAGCGCAGTCAAACAAAGGGATGGGGACTGACGAGGTCACGTCGGTACTTCCAGGGCAAGGGAAACTTGGCGAGGACGAATCCTCGTCCTCGTGGATACAATTACCTGGACCGTATGGTGTGGCAGGCACATCCAGATTACCAAGTGATGCACCCGCATCGAATGACGCGACGACCAGGGCGTCGTCGTGTGCCCAAAAGAAGGAACATCCACTGCGAGGGCTGGATTCATCGGACTCAGGTGAACGGCGACGTTCAACGACTACCGATGGTATCGAGACCGAGCCGGCGCGAGCGCAAGGAGGAGGTACCTCCTCTACGAGGGGGGGTACTTTCTTGAGAGGGGAAGGGAGCGGGGTATCGAACGGCCGCCGCTTGTTCCACAACACAACCAGTACATCACACGAAGATGTACTGGCTTCGGACCCGGCAGTGACACGGACGCCAAGCCGTGAGCTTGACGTACGGGCCACCCACGGGAACTCGACGCGAATGCCAGCTACTCACACATTGAGTAGTCGGCGCGAAGTGCAGGATACGGCGCGAGTGGCCAGTACATCATGCAATGATGTATTGGGATTAGATGTAGTCTCGGGCCGTACGTCCAGCGTAGTGCTCGACGTACGAGCTTCACGTCGGACATCGAGACGCGTACCACCTGTACCACGCGCATCGAGTGATCGACTCGAAGCGCAGGATACGGGTGACCGTCGCAGCCACGACACCACGCGGAAAGCCAGTACCTCGCGCCGCGAAGTACTGGGACTGAACCAAGTGTTGATCGCACTGGATCGTCCAGTAACCGTCGACGTGAGTCGATGGCCGAGTGACAAGAGGTCGCGCGAGGAATGTTTCAGCCTCCTCGCGGACCAGCTCGACCACGATTTCGACGAGGCCGAATCCGCGGCAAGTGATGGCGAGTGGGCCATTTGGGCTCACTGCAAGAGATCTGCACTCAGCTGTGGACAGGCCATCGAGGAGATGTCCCCGCGACCGGGGACATATTCTCGTGCTGCTCGACGAGCATGGGACCACTTCCAGAGGGAATTGGAAGTGGTTCCTCTCGAGTTTGATCCTCTGCTCATTGCACCATTACCTATGGAGATGGTGCGATATTGGGCCTACAACAAGCTGGGATGGCTTGTTGTACCACATCGCAGTCAACCTCGGGATGACTCCGACTGGTACAACTCCTCTGATGAGGAGCCTCATACCACCACTCGTGAGGAGTACCCTGACCAGATTGAGTCGGAGTACTTCTCCGAGTCCGAGCACCATAGCTCGTGGTACTCACGAAGTTCAGGGTCTGAAGAGACAAACTTGGTAGTAGTCTCTGACTACTATGAGCAGTCTGAGATGGAGGATACCCAAGGTTCTTTTGCACTATCTGCCGAAGATGAGGGTAACTCGGAAGATGCAGACTACTACTCCGAGTCCGAGTAGTAGTCTACCTTCTGGCCTGCATAACTCTGTCGAGTTATGTATGACAATGATGAATGGTTGTGTCTGCTCACTGACTCGATCTAGCATGTCGTTGTCTACAGTTCAACATCATCTCTGTTTGCCAATCGCTACCACCGTTGGGTTGTTGCGTATGTTTCCTTTCTTTTTCTTTTTTCTTTTTTATCTGTTTCTCTGGTTATCGCTGGGACCCGTAGTCGTGTCCAGTGGGGGAGGGTGTAACGGATATTCCCGTTACGGTATGTATTACAGTATATGTTTGTCTTTGTTTGCTCGAGGACTCGTATGGCGCGCCAGTGCACCTACGAGTCCTCAGCCTTTACCTCGTCACCGCTTTGTATGCACTCTGTAGACAGATCTCCTTGAATAGAGACTGGGTGCAGCGCATACGAGGCACGACGAGTGAGGCGCCCTTACAAGAAGCCCATGTCATAAATGTATGGCATGAGCGTCGAAACCCAGCATGATACGGCTCTATCAAGCTAGATGCCCTATCTATATCCATATATAGCTCACGACTTTTCGCCGATGAGGAGGCGATCATTGCAAGCGCGCTGTAAGTATAAATCCCGTGACCTACCACGCCACACACGCGTTAGATTGAGAAAGCTCAGTGACATGAGACAATCATTAGTGAACTCATGAATACGATATGCACGTAACATCGATTGCATGACTAGTTGGCCTTGAATACTTGCCAAACAACGACACGTATTGGAATAGAGTCCTAGCACCTGATTGATTACACAAACTAGCATAGTACCGTAAGACTATAAGTAGTAAGTACCTCCTCTGAATCGAGAAGACCATCATGAATGTCTACAATATTAGCATAATTGGGAGCCGGCACCCCAATGCATTTCCTAGTAGAAGCTTCATACCAGGGCTCGGGTAATGGAGATCAGATGGTTCTGTACGATCATGACCTGTAAGTTCGAGCCTCGTCATCCTCCCAATACTCGATCTTTGAGTCCCCCAAGCGCGCTCTTTACAATATTAATATTAATGTGTTAGTTACATGGTAATCAGCATCCACCTTGAGGAACGGACATTGTCATCACTGTTACGCGAAGCTAGGCGAGTGGAACACTACAAGCCACAAGCTTGCAAGGCTATTAACTTCGAGGGAAAGTTCTGTGTCTTAGACCTAGGAAGGACGCAAGTCCCTTCGTCCTAGTCGAGTTCCGAAGTGGTAGCGGTATGAGGAAGCTAGCGTCGATTGCTAACCAGGTCGAACTGAAGAGTCCGACCCTTACTGTACAGGTATATATACAAGTAGATGAGTCTGAGTCAAGACGTATTGTAAGCATGAGTCAAAACGTGTCAGCGCTGACGAAGGAAGTGGTAATCATGACGAAGAAACGAGTCAGCAGGGTTCAGCTATCACATGATAGTCCGGGTGCGGTATAGTACATAACCGGTCCTCATGCACGTGAGGTGGTTAGAGATAACAAGTAAAAAGAAATGAAATGTACGTGACTTGGCGACTTGTAACAATCACTGGGTGTACTACCTTGGCAGTTTAGTCTTCAAGTAGTCCCGCCAGGCATAAAGTCACCCTCCAGTGGCAGCAGAATTGTATTAATACAGCTGAAAACAATTCAACAGTAAGCTATCGACAACTTATACGCAACGGTGCAGTAAGTCACGTAACGACACATGGGGTGGAACAGGCGGACGCTCATCCAGCGCCCACAGTTCGGTAGCGATGTGATCTCGGCACGTTCCGAAAGCTATACAGCTCAATGAGCAAGGTTCAGCCACCCGATCCCGCGCCTGCGAGGTACACTAATTCGAGAGGCACAAGCGCCGCCGCCCAGCAAGACATTCGCCCGCCATGGTACGTCCTCGCCGTCGTCGTGCTCGACGCTCTCGGAATCGCTGCTGACGGTGTGTCGGACAGCCCAAAGAAATCCGCGACATCAAGCAGTTCATCGACATCGCCCGGCGAAAGGACGCCTCAGGTGCGTTTGACCCTATAGTGCATTGGACCGGACAGTGCTGACCAGCGACGGGGTGTGCAGCGGCGCGCATCAAGAAGATCGCGCCCCGGGTAGCGGGTGGTAAGACCCGCACAAAGTTCAAGATTCGCTGCACGCGTTACCTGTACACCCTCGCCCTCGACGACCCCGAGAAGGCGGAGAAGCTCAAGGCGAGCTTGCCTCCAGGTGCGTATCTTCTCCCTTGTTCTTACCTTACTCCTTTCCGTTTACACTGCATGGATCTTCGACCTGGAACTGACTTTGCGTCTACAGGCCTGAACATTGTCGAGGTCGATGGCACACCAAAAAAGAAGTAGACGCGCCGTCTCTTCTCTCCACTAGGTGTCCGTCCGGAGGGTGGTGGCCTGAAGATTGGTGTTGGGAGCGGGGAGACAGGCCCTCTTGGACGGGGGCGTCCCTACGAGTCCGCAGCAGGTGCGCGGGCGAACGACTACGACTGCTACTGCTATTGCTATACTGCCAGGCATCATCATATGGATTGTGTATGCTCCTCTACGACGCTTTTACTATGCACATACGCAACCTCTCGTGCTCCTGCCTCCATGGCGCCGCCCTTGGTACTCGGCTGGTGGCGTCTTCCAACTTCCCGCTGACCCGAAGCCTCGAGATATCCGTCACGGCGACACTCTGACGAATTGCCAACCCGACCCTATGGAACTCGCTGCAGCCGCAGTCCATGCATTTTCCCCCTTTTGAGCAACGGGGCTGACATTCACACAACCCGTACAACTTCACAGAGCGGACAGCAGGTATGTCTCAAGGTCCCAAGTGGAGGAATCATCGGATCTACTTGCTATTGGCTCAATTGAGCATGGGCCCACTCTCTCGGCTAGCTCCGTTGAGAAGCCGCATAGAGACAGTTAACGGAGTCACCGCGGGTGAGGGTACCGGTTCGGCCACCACAAGCACGCAAATTATTCATATGTCGAGCGACGAGCTGGCGGTAGAGCAGACGTCACAACGGATTAGTGAACAGCCGCATCCTCCAGCCCATTCTCGTGCAAATAGTTCGCAGACGTCCCAAGGCAAGGGGTTCTCCTCGAGATCGTGGTGCCATACTATGAATCTCTCGCAAGCATTGACAAATCATTGGGAGCACGGGGTGATTGGGACGGCTTCGTGAACAGAGCATACCGCAATCTACTGCACGCAGGATCCTCGACTGTCTAGTGTACGTCTGAACTCCTGGACGCTCGTTGCTCTCAGACTTACTGATGCTTCGTGCCAACGTACAGGACGACAGATGGCACAGTATATGTTTCGAGAGACCTATCATATGATGAATACGACTGGGTAAACTCGGTACGGTTTCCGTTCGATGCAGGCCTTGCACCGTAATTATGCCAGTCAACTTCATATGTTACCGCAACTCAGACATCTCATATTTGACGCCAGGTCGACACACCTAGAATTGGTCCCGCCACGCCGTAGTGACGAGGTCCGAAACAGGGCGATGACACGCAAGTTGTGGTATGTACAACTCATACACTCATATCCTAAGTATGTGAATGATGATTCACAGTGCGACTCAACATGCTGACGGGCGGCTGTAGGCATGAAAATAACTGTAATCTCACCGTTCTAATGTAATTGACAGTTTCACCTCGAATCTTCCCAGTCTGTCATAGTCAGAAGCTGAATGCGAGCAGTGCCGGCTGAGGACAAAGCGCTGAGCCCACACTGGCTGGCAGGAATATTTGTCATTGTCAAAGTCATTCGGTGATTTACACTCAACTTATTAGGCAGTGCGGTTCGAGTAGTCTATTCGTTTCTCGAGAGATTGGGGTTTTCTCGCGCAGTGGTGTGTAGGCCAGCCTCAAGTTTCGACCGTAACCCTTCACCCATTCCTGTTGCACCTATCAAATCGGCATCGCTCTCTATATCTAAGTTCAGGGGTAGGGCTCCTCAGATGGTATAGAAGGAGCTATTGGCGTATCTCGAAAGAGCTCTATGAACTTCATCCGATGAGCAGAAATCGCCAGTCGGTGAAGTAAGCGCCCGGAGTCAGTGGCGAAACCTTGAAAAGGTTATGGGACTCGCCTGGGTCGCCTGACTCGCGAGGGCTCGCCTCTCTCCTCCCTCGACCTCAGCTACTTACACCTCTTCTGCCTATCATCATGTACGCGGTTGGCCGAGCTTCTAGAGCGGTGGTTAGATTTAGTGGGGCGCAGCGGGCAGTCTTCGTCGCAGGGCGACGTCAAGGTGCAGTACAGGCCGTGAAGCGCAAAGCACCCACCCTATCCAGGGCCATACACACTGGTGCTCAAACAGACAGGGTATGTGGCAGCGTAAGGGTGTTATATGATGCATGCTAACAGTTCAATAGGATACTATCACACGCCTTCTCTACTCCATTGGTACCAAGCGCGAAGTCGAGCGATACTTGAGGATTTTCTCTTCTTCGTCGGATACCTCGAACCCCGCGAAGTTCGCGGTCATCAAGATTGGTGGTGCAGTACTCGACCAGATTGACGAACTCGCCCTCAGCTTGAGCTTCCTCTACCGAGTGGGGCTGTACCCGGTAGTTCTGCATGGTGCGGGTCCCCAGCTCAACAGTATCATTGAGGCGGAAGGAGTAGTGCCGGACTACATCGACGGGATTCGGGTCACAGGTGCGTCTGCAGCTATGAGCCTTACGTCTCGCGACTCAAAGCATGGCTGCGTCCAGATGCTAAGACACTACAGATTGCACGGCGTGTCTTCCTGGAGGAGAACCTTAAGCTGGTTGGCGCGCTCGAGAAACTGGGCACTCGTGCACGTCCTATCACTTCCGGCGTGTTTTCGGCGGACTACCTCGACAAGGAGAAGTACGGCTTGGTGGGCAAAATCACCAAGGTCGACAAGCGCCCACTGGAGGCGGCCATTCGAGCTGGTGCACTTCCTATCCTAACAAGCTTGGCCGAGTCCGACGCGGGTCAAATCCTGAATGTCAACGCCGACATTGCTGCTGGTGAGCTCTCAAAGGAGCTCGAACCCTTGAAGATCGTCTTCTTGAATGAGAAGGGTGGTTTGTTCCACGGCGTAACTGGAGAGAAGCTGGACGTGATCAACCTAGACGAGGTGCGTCGTTTGTCTATGATCAGAAGTGTTTCTGACTCCATCACGCATAGGAATATGACGAGCTCATGAGACAGCCATGGGTCAAATACGGCACGAAGCTCAAGCTTCGCGAGTTCAAGGAGTTGCTGGACCACCTGCCGCGCTCGTCATCCGTGGCAGTCATCCGATCAGATATGCTGCAGAGGGAGCTTTTCACCGACAGCGGTGCCGGGACGCTCATCCGCCGTGGCTACAAACTGTTTAGGCACGGCTCCATCGAGTCTGTCGGCGCAGACCGTCTCCGTCAAGTTGTCCACGACCGTGACCCAGATATCCTCTCTGGCGACGACAGCGTCGCGGGTGTCCTGAACCGAATCAAAGAGACGCCATACACGATCTATGGCGACGAGCCGCTAGACGTCGTCGCGATCGTGTCGCACCCGTCCGGTGAGGTACCAGTGCTCACGAAGCTGCTCGCGTCTCGCAATGGCGTCATGAACGGCATCGTCGACAACGTCTTCAATGCGATCAAGAAGGACCACCGCAAGCTCTTCTGGACGGCCCGCGCCGACGACGAGAACCGCGCATGGCACTTCGAACGGGCGGATGGGAGTTTCACGCGCGCCGGAAAGAGTCTGTTCTGGTATGGCGTGCAGGACGTGAAGGAGATTGAGAGGATCGTGAAGGGATACGAGGAGAAGGGCAGGATCGGCCGTTCATACCTACCTGTTGGCCCTTCTGCTCCCCCGCACAGAGGTGTGCCTGGTGGCGCCCGGTCCTATTCCACCTTCGCTAGGAAGCCTGTTCCTGGCTCGTCGAGGGGGTACGCTACTGCTGCTGCCTCTGCCTCGACAGAGCCAAAGCGTCTGGCACTAATCGGCGCGCGGGGCTTTACTGGGCAAACACTGACCACCCTTCTGTCCTCTCATCCCCACCTCAACTTGACCCATGTCTCGTCCCGGCAACTCGCCGGATACTCTCTCGACGGCTACACGAAGGCACAGATCAAGTACTCCGACCTCTCTGCGGAGGACGTCGAACGGATGGAGAAGGACGGCGAAGTGGACGCGTGGGTCACGGCGCTCCCGAACGGCGTGTGCAAGCCCTTCGTGGACGCGATTGACCGCGGTTCGAAGGAGCGGAAAAGCGGGGAGCCCAGCGTGGTCGTGGATCTGAGCGCGGACTACCGGTTCGAGGATGGGTGGACGTACGGGCTTCCGGGTGAGAAGTCTCAGTCAACCTTGTAAGACATCGCTAGAATAATAATCTTCTTTCTCTGTCCTGTCTTGTCAGAGCTGTACGGGCGTGAGGCCATCCGCGGCTCGAAGCGTATCTCCAACCCTGGATGCTACGCAACGTCATCTCAGCTGCTTGTCGCGCCGCTGCTGAAGTACCTGAAGTACGATGCGTGGCCCACCGTCTTTGGTGTTTCGGGGTACAGCGGTGCCGGCACGGTCGCAGGCCCGCTTGCAGCGGACGGTCGGCCGACCACTGCACCGAAGGTCAGTCCGGAGAGCCTCGCGGGCGGCATCAAGCCGTACTCGCTCACAGACCACATCCACGAGCGCGAGGCGGGGCGCCACCTGTCGCGCCTGCTCGCATCCGGGACGAGCCCAATGAAGGTTGCGTTCGTCCCGAACGTCGCGCCGTGGTTCAGCGGCATCATGTCTGTGCTTTCGATGCCGCTGAAGGAAACGGTCACCGCGAAGGAGGTAAAGGAGCTGTACGAGGAGAAGTACAGTGGTGAGAAGCTGGTCACCATCAAAAGGGACGTGCCTGTCCTCCAGGATATCGAAAACAAGCATGGCTGGTCTGTCGGTGGGTTCCAGGTCCATAGCCAGGGTGATAGGGCTGTCGTTGTGGTGAGTACCGCGTATCATTTGCCCGTCTCACACGCTGACGGTGTTCGTAGGGCGGCCTGGATAACTTGCTCAAGGGGGCAGCGACGCAGTGTCTCCAGGTAAGTTGGGTTGTTGATCGCCGACAATCGCAGTGCTAACGGTCATGTAGAACCTCAACCTTGCTCTTGGATACGATGAATACGCAGGCATCCCCGTCTAAATACATCCCTAGACGTTGGATAGACTTAGAAAAGCTGCTCGGGGATGACTCTCCAAGAGATGAGTAGGAGCGCATGTGCGATTGAGCATAAGTACAAGACATACTATCAAATTATCCTATGCCCGGTCAATAACCAATATAGTGATCACTTATCTACAGTACAGCAGTTCAAGACATATGAGTGTGCTCCCAAGTAATAAGTGTGAATCCCATGAATGCATGCGAGTTTTGACTTCATAGCTGATCATACGGCTTCATCGCCTCTTCCAATGCGTCCGCATCGAAAGACTCGAACTCCGTGAAGCTCGAGTCCGCATCCCTCGCCTCGTCCATATCCTCATCCTCCGCAGAGTCCTTGGGACGCGGCGGTGTGTCATCGGGTGTGATGGGCGCCGCATCCCTAGGCAGGCTAGCTCGCGCGGTCATGACCATGGGGGCCTTTGTCACGGACCGCTGTATGGGAGGATGCTTGGACTGCACCGAGGGTGTCTTGAACCCCCTCTGCCGCGTGGGCAAGGTCGGCGAAGGCTGGTACTGCGAAGAGACCCCGCGCCTCATCGACGTCATCCCAAGAGGCGCCGCGAACCGCTGCATGGACTGGTTGGAGGGCTGAGCTGGCCGGGGCGGCCCCGGACGCGCAACGAAAGAAGGGGTGACTGTCGGTGGGGCTGCAGAGCTCTTGCGGTGCGTGGGCGGAGGGTCGTCTGCGGGAGGGGTGATGGGTGAGTGGCGGCGGTGCGAGGTGGATGGCTCTGCAGGAAGCGGCGTAGACGCGACGATCGCTAGGCCAGGAGGAGTGGCTTGAGACTGCCCAGCATCCTGCGTGCGGCGTGAATTCACAGGCTTGGTCGATGTGGTCGCGACCTGCGACGAGCTATTGCCACACTTGTTCGCGTAGAGGAACGAATCTGAGTCGATGTCCATCGCATCCGCACTGTCATCTCTCGTCCGAGATGCTGACTGCGCAGGGCGCGTGTTCCCGTCAAGTCTGCTGCCACGTGCGACCGTACCGTTCTGAGCAGGTAGAACGGTAGTCCGTCGTTTTCCTGTGCTCTTTCCAGAGTGGTGTGTCTTTTGCGGATGACCATCCGTTTGGCGTTTGGAGGCTGCACTCCGTCGTTCCGCTCTAGACAGCGCTTCGGTGGAAGCATTCGCCGCGAGGTCATTCAGTTCTTCAGTGGCTTGATCTAAAACAGGTGTCGACACGTTCTTTGGGCTCCCGGGTGGCGATCCACCATTGAGGCTCGGTGGGATCTTTCGTCGGTCACGGCGCGCACTCGAACGGGTCGCTCGCAAGCGCGGACGGGTGGGTGGTTTGAAGCCTGGGCATGGGTCGTAAAGTTCTAACTCCGAGTCTTGTATTGATTGCCGCGCACGTCTTCCTGCAATATAGGGTGAGTGAATTGCGAGACGGTCAAGTCAATGATACAAGGGTAAAATAAAATGCATTTCCGCAGATTTTCCAGGAGCTGATAAGGTTCGGGCAGACGCCTAACATCACCTAGGGTGCTGGAGTTCGACGAGACAGTAAGTACACGAGATGGGCCGGCAGGCCGGGGACATCTACACAGGAATTTAGGATAGATCGCGCCGCAAATCTCTGCGGGCAGGCATCCACTCGTACACTCGAGCAGGGTAGTCGAACGGCATTCGAGATCCGCAGTGTACGGTGTGTACCATTGATGGTCAAGGCGCACGCATTCCAGCGTTGTCCTGGGCCACGCAGGGGGCGTATGTGGAGCGGAGTTTTGGCTAGCAAGATGGCCGACAGCTGGCGAATTCGCGCACCCGCCATGGCGCACCACCGTTGGCAACAACTTGGCGTCGATATGATCGCACTCACGATGAGCATCGTCCAAAGCCCGGCTCTACATAATCTCCAGCGCAGGCCGGCCTCATGTTTCTACATTGGCATGACATGCACTCCTCGGTGCGATGGGCTGAGTGCACGGGACAAAGAGATATGACTGCACCTGCCACTGCTTCCTCCTCCATCAAGGCCTTCACAACCTGTGGTTGACTCTGTTGCCACCCGACGTGATCACAGATGAATGGTTTGCCCACAGTGTTGAAGGAATAGACACGGCGAGAGATTGGGTCAATCTCCATTGCGTCGTCGTCCATAGCGGGAAGGTCGTTACAGTGTCGCGAAAAGCAGATCAAAAGGAGTAATAGAAATATGGAGTCCGCGAGCAGGAAAAGACCAACATGCGGGAACGACGGTCCCGCAGATGTTGTGTCGCGTCGAGAGTCGAGCCAAAGATCGCTGCTGTGGCGTATCCTCAGTCGCGACGCGTCGAGGCGACGGTCACATGACCTCACATCGCATTTGATGATGGTACTTACATAGGTCATTTCACTTGTTGAGCAATGAGCGCGAAGTACGCGGTCTGATTCTGTATGCACGTAGAATGTCTGGTAGAGAGCGCAGAGCGACGAGGATGAGATCTCAGATCGCCACCAGTGGCCAGTGCCACACACGCGAGGAAGATGCACGTGATGAATGTCAGTGACTACCGGATTTGGATAACCAGGACGCGTCGCTCGTCGACGTTCGAGACGCGGTTGAACAGGGTTGAACTATTCCAGACCATCCCGGGCTTGCTGCTCGACTTCACGACCTCGCCGTGCACTAGCTCGCACGGCACTATGCCTGTTCCACGGCTCTCTCAGAGCGCAGAGGCTGCGCGAGCGGCTGCGCAACAAGCCGAATTCAACGAGAAGAAATGGGTGTGGGTCCCCGATGACAAGGACGGCTATCTTGCGGGATGGGTAGTGAAGGAGGAGGAGGACATGGGCGAGGTCGTAATTGCCTCTGGAGGAGAGGTGCGCGTACTAGTGTTGTTCTTAAGCAGCGATGTCTTGACGTTAGACCGAAGATACGAAGACTGCCATTATATGCCCTCTCGAAGATGAACCCGCCCAAGTTCGACCGCGTCGACGATATTGCGGACCTCACATTCCTCAACGAAGCGAGTGTGGTACATAATCTCCGCCTAAGGTATGGCTCTGGCGCAATTTATGTGAGTGTCTCTGTCACCTGCGTTCGAAGAGTGGTTGGGGCACTCGGTGAGGCTATTGAAGCACCCGCCGTTCTTGTTGAGGAGGGTGTGCTCCCCCGACATGGATGCGGACGGGTGACGAGGATTGGATGAAAGTGTCTGCACGCGGCGAAGCCTTGCCAGATTCACCGGTGGTGCCTCTCGTTCCTATGTTCTGGCTACGAAGGGCCCCTTTGTGGGGAGGCCTGATTCGCAACTGATAGACTTTGCGCGATTGTTCACATGACTCTACTGACCGGTTATACTATGTTCGTTGTCCTAGGGCGATTGGTGTATCCTGCGCGCGTTGAGTAGGATCATCTATCATTGCAGTCCCGGTTCATTGTTGTGAAATACTTTCCACGGGTTGATGATGCAAGCAAGCCGCTACGATTCGTCTGTGCCTATATGCTGCATGGATGGGGCATCCGCGCGGATCACAGCAGAGGTCTGTGAACCACGCACAAGGGCGGAATATATTGGTCAATGTGTGTGGCGCCCACGCTGAGTCTCATATTTGACCAAACGAGGCGCGTCACCCACTCGGAGTCGCACCGGAGACACCCTCTCTTCTGCAGTCCTTGCGGACTTCGGACTATCTGAATGAAAATTACCTGGCAATTCACATCGTTGGGTCCTCTGGTGAAGCGTCTGAGTGTACAAGGAAATGCTGACCTATGTGTATAGACATACTCTGGCTTATTCTTAGTGGCCATCAATCCCTACCAGCACCTTCCGCTCTACTCGGATGCTATCGTTCACCAATACCGCGGGAAGCGGCGAGACGAGAACCCGCCACACATCTTCGCCATTGCTGAGCGGGCATGGATCAACATGGGCGAAGAACGCGAGAATCAGAGTATCCTCATCACGTATGTAGCGTCATACCGAATATTCGGGCAGATGGTCACGTAACTTGCTTGTAGCGGCGAATCAGGCGCAGGTAAGACGGAGAGTACGAAGAAGGTCATCCAATACCTTGCTGCGATCGCGACCGACGCACATCCCCCGCCATCCCACTCACAGTCTCCGTCCCTCACACATTCCAACTCGTTCAACTCCATCATGCCGTCTTCCGGCCTGCCCCGTAGTAGCTCCTTCAAGAAGCACGGCAAGGGCCTCTCGTCGTCCGGATCGGGATTCACTTCGAAGGACCGCCTCGGCCTACTCGAGCGCCAGATTCTGCAAGCCAATCCCATTCTGGAGGCGTTTGGTAACGCACAGACGCAGAGAAATAACAACTCCAGTCGATTCGGCAAGTTCATCCGGATCAGCTTCTCACCAGATGGCAGCATTGCTGGTGCGAACATCGACTGGTACTTGCTCGAGAAGAGCAGAGTGGTAGTACGGAGTGAGGCAGAGCGGAGTTTCCACGTGTTCTACCAGCTGATGGAGGGCGGTGGTAGCCTGAAAGGTTCGCTCGCACGATACCTACTTGTACTGCGAATCTTACTTCTGGCTTCTAGATACGTTACTTCTGGATGGTGGCGTTGAGGACTACGAGTATCTCAACAAGAGCAGGCGAGAAGTCGACGGGATCGACGACAAGGAGGAGTGGGCGCTGCTTAAGGTACGAACAACCTGTCGGCACTGGACTGTGCTGACAGATTTTCCTCCAGAATGCGCTGGAAACCGTCGGTTTCACTGCTGCTGAGCAGCTGGATCTTTTCCGAATCGTCGCTGCTGTTCTCCACATCGGCAATATCACGCTCACCGAGACACGTTCGAACGACGCAGTCATGCCTGACCCATCGCAAGCGGAGCGTGTCTGCCATCTACTCGGGATCCCAGTTGCCGAATTCACGAGGGCCTTGCTCCGTCCCCGCGTCCTAGCAGGGCGTGAGTGGGTCACGCAAGCTCGGACGCAACAACAAGCACTGGACGAGCTCTCGGCCCTGTGCAAGACGCTTTACGAGAAATCGTTCGGCATGCTCGTTGACCGCATCAACCGTGCGCTTGACCGGCCGTCGTCTAAGTCGACGTTCATCGGCGTGCTCGATATCGCGGGTTTCGAGATCTTCGACGTGAACGGCTACGAGCAGCTG